TATATATATATATATTTAAAGGGTTGGGGATGTGGCTCAATGGTAAAGCACAAGTGGGTTCAATCCCTGATAACCCCTCCAAAAAAGGAATGAAAAACTGATGTATACTAAACATTTATTAAATAAAAAACATCCATCACAAAAACAACATATTGTATGATTCTATTTTACATGAAATGTCTAGAACAGGCAAAAAGATTAGAAGTTGCCCAAGGTTGAGGTGGGGATGTTGAGGAGACTAACTGCTATTGGGTACAGGTTAGAGGTGAAAAAAATGTCCGAAAATTGACTGTGATGATGGTTGCCCAATTCTGTTAAAGTACTAAAACCCATCAATTGGGTACTTTCTATAGGTAAATGGTATGGTATATGAATTATATCTCAATAAAGCTGTTATTAAGAACATGTATCTTAGCACACATATGTGTATATAAGACAGACAGACTGGCTTTGGGGGATGAGATTAAAATAAATTTTGTTTTCTCTTTTTGCTATGTCTTTTCTCTTCAGAAGTTGAAAGAACACTGGTAAAAAAAAAAAATGTTGCCAAGGAGATTCCCATATCTGGTGGGGTTGCATTAGCTGACACCCAACATCCTTCCCACCTATAAGATCCTGAGATTTACCTTGGAAAACATTAACGGCTGGACTAATACCTAACCAATGTGGAGGACCATGGTCCTTCTGTGGGACAATCCAGAGCAACATTCTTGTGATGAAACACGCCACTTACATTCCTCTCAGAACTTACCGCACTATAGTTCTTCAGGGCCAGGTGGGCTTTTCCCATGTGAAAATATGCCTTTGTGCATTTTTCATCACACTGCATAAAAGAGAATGACTGATCAGATATTTCAGAAGATTTGAAATCATTAGCCTCCCTGCCAAGCTAATAGAGTGAGGCATAGCTTGGTTCTCAGGACAGCTATCTGAGTTGACATTAAAACTTTTCTAGGCATCTGATGCCTGCAAGGAGCCTGGGTGCACAAGTAAGCTCTCTATCAAATTAATGATACCTGCCAGTTTTCATTTCCACTTAATGAGTCCTATTCATGAAACAAACCAGAAAGTCTTAGCTTAGAAGAGCTCTTGACACTAAGTAAACATTAGAATTCCTAATCAGGCTGCACCCCACGCCAATTAGATTATTCTCTCGGATGGAGCCCAGGCATAAATAATTTTTTAAGTTCTCTAGGTAATGTAACTGTGCAATCAAACTTGAGAACTACTAGTTTATTAGAATAGAAAGAATTGATTCTTGGAAAACAACTGTGGTTACCAGTAGATCTTAGTGGCCCCGGGAAGGTACTATCCCCAGATAAATTGGGAACCCACCTTCATATCATTTAAGATCCAAAGGACTGCCCTATTAAAGAGGCAGGATTGAAATTTATGGCTAAGAATATGTCATTGATTGTTATAATTCTGCAAGGAATGATTTGGCACAGACATGAACTAAAATTTAAAATATCCAGTTAGTTAACCTTTATTGACCCCCATTTAGGTGCAAGGCATTGTGCCAGATCAGGTGCTCCTTAGGGTTTAGATTTAATGAGGTTCGGGGTCCACCTCAGAAGTCTATAAAGTGTTCAGGGTAAATCCTTGTTCTGCCACTCACTGTAGAAGTGGGCTATTGACCAGGTCACCTGCCTTTCTGGACACTTATTTTCCACATTGGAAAGTGAAGAGAATAATAGTATCTTTCTCTTAATGCACAGGTTGTAATGAGGAAGAATCATGTAAAACACTTTGATTGGTCTGATTAGCTGCTGTTGCTATGGTTACAACAACAGCAATTCATTTCAGAGCAAAAGAGAATATTTAAAGAAAAGGAGAACAGTAGTAAGAGAGGGAACAAGAATGGCTGAAGAGGCCTGCAGAGTTGCATTTTCATGTCTGTCATTTCCCGACTCACTGGTAAGGGAATGGGAGTAACGATGACAAGAGCACACGGGACTTCTCAGTCCACTCCATGTTCTAGGTACTGAATTGATAGTTCTTGTGATCTCATGTAAGCCCTTTAATACCTCAGTGAAGCATGCACAGTTCTATCTTCATTCTACAGATGAGAAAATGAGGGTGGAGAGCTTCATGACCTGGATAGTAAGTGAAGAGCTGGAATCTGAAATATGACCATTTATAAACTTGAGACCCAAGAAGGGCTTAAAAAGTATATCAAATCTCCTTTATAAGTGTGCTATAGATAAAAGCATATAGATGCTATAGAAAATGCTATTGAAAAAGTTCAGTCGAAGTAAGTCTGGTCTAAAGAGATGTAGTATAAACAGGGTCTGAAAGGAGGTGGGATTTAAAGCAGATCTTGAGTGACTGGAGAAGTGAAGAGAGGAGACACAGAAAGAAGGGGTTCAGCAAGGTCTGGAGGTAGGAGAGTCCAGAGGGCTTCTGTGGATAGTCCAGCTGAGATTGAGGGGAAGGTGCTGGGTGGAGGGAAGATGGGGCTTGAGGGTGAGCCAGACATGATTCCATATGGAGGCCTTGAGTGCCAAGCCAGAGAAGGGTGAGTCACTGATGGAGGCAGCATGCAGAACTGACCAAAGGAGGGAAAGGCAGGGAGATGAGTGAGGATACCAGACAATCACATGGAATGAGGGCTAATGTCTGAAGTCATGGTGACAATGGGAGTGGAAGGAAGTGCAGAAACCAGAGCTATGTCAAAGAAACACCAGCACCAACTAACTCTAAATGGTAAAGCTAAAGGAGGGTGTGAAGTCAAAATTCGGTGTGTGGCTGCCTGGAGAACATGATATATCCTGAGCAGGAGGTCACTGAGGGAAGGTAGAGGGGAAGGCTGAGTGGGGGGATGAAGAGCTGGCTTCTAGATTTCAATGATGCCAAGACAACTGAATGGATACTTGTAGAAGGTGCCTCTAAAGCAGCCCAGGGGCTGGGGGTCAGGGAGAGAATGGGTAAGGAGGCCAGAGAGCCATTTGCAGAGATAACAGCTATACTCATAAGAGGAGATGAGTGAAGAAAGGCAAAGAGCAGAGCTATGAACTTAAAATTCTTGAAGGGCAAAACTGAAGATGCAGGAAAGAAACATTCAAAGGAAAAATGGGAAATCCAGCACTGAAGCTCATGAGATATGAATGCTCAGCACATTCCCTGGTAGAGCACCAGGGTTACACAGAGGAGGCAAGTGAGCCCCAAGTTCAGGGCCCTGGCCATAGGCTGAGTCACCAACAAGTGGGTGTAGCTGTGACCTTGCCAACTCTGATACCCATGCAAAGGGCCACTGACTTTCTTACTACTGGGCCTTTCTCCTTTGATGGTGTTTCTTGAGTAAATCTCAGCTTCCCTTTAAAGGAATCCTGCCATCAGAGGAAGACACATTTCATTTATGCAGGAAGTGCTCTACCAAGAAAGGAACGATTCTTACTAATTGAACCAAACTTCATGGCTTTATCTTCTTCCACAAGGGACATCAGTCCTCAAATATCACAGGAGCTTATCTCTACCAACTCAAAGATACCAAAAAATATTAAATTGGCATGAAAGCACTAATCCTCTAATAATGGAGTGCCAGTGATGATTGCTACTGATATTTTAAAGACTTTCAAAGAAAGTGAAACTTTTTTTGATCTCATGGTTTCATAAGAACTGTTACTAGTTTTTAGAATTTCTTGTGCATCTTTTCCCACACCTCCAAGTGTTTACAAAACCTCTTCAAGTGGGAGCCTTGCTGGGCATTTAACAAGACTGGCTGCTGAGTGTCAGCGTTTTTTAATGTCAGCTCCATTGGGCCTACTTTGCCTTGGTTTCACCATTAATTACACTGTGCTTCAGCTAACATTTGGGAGCAGGCCAGTGTGTTCTCCTGAGTCAGCATGAGGATATGTTTACCTTTTTAGTCCTTGCAGATAAGAAAAGAGATTCCTGGAGGCCTTCGAGGAGATATTGTTTCTTCCACAGAAGGGAAATGAGAATCTATACCCAGGGATTAAGGGGCTTAAAGTTTCAGGAGAAAGACCATTTACAATAGATGGTTATGAGCATGGACTTACAGTAAGACTCATAGTAGCTCTGTGATCCTGCTTAAGTTACTTAATTCATCTCCAAGGCTTAGCTTCCTTGTCAGAAAAATAGGGAAAACAGTGGTATTGAACAGAACAGGATAGGATGTTGTGAGCATGCAGCAAATCACAGGTTTTGCTGTTATTGTTGCAACAACCAAGCAAAACATCCCTGCCTTTCTCTTCCCTTACAGAATGGTGGTAAAAAAAAAAAAGAAATCATGATCAATCAAGGTGACAAAGTAGGTTAGAGGATCTATGCTAGATGTGCAAAGACTTGATATTATTACTTGATATTATTATTCAGCTTTGGGCAACCAACCTCACACCTTAAAGAACCTCCACAATGCAATAGGGCAATGCTTATCACACACTATATCTCCTAAGGGATAAAGAAACCAGATTCTCCAGATGTCGGTTTTGGAGGAGGATCCTGCATGTTTTATGAACTATCATAGGCAAAGGTGAATTTCTAGCTCATCTCTGTTTCTCTGGTTTCCTCCTCAATAAAAAATAAATAGATGTAGCCAGTAGGTTGCTATGGACATGCACTCATAGTATAGGCCATGATCATTAGACTAGGCTAGGTGTACTGTTCCAAGGAGTTAAATTCTATGGGATATACCTGGTATATTCTCCCACCTCCACAATTTTCCTTGATTCTAAGTTGTTTAAAATAATACTATTATATTAAAACAAAAAGAAAATTTTTATGGAGTGCCATGCAAAATTCCCAAGGATGAAAAAGAAATTTCATGCTTCTTGTTTGTAGACCCTCCGGGGGCTCAAGTTCATTCTCCTCTGTTTTAGAACTTCTGTGCATAAATTTGAAAAGTGCTAGTTTGGTTATTTAATTAAAGCCACCTGTGACAGAGTAACAAGAATATAGAAAAGGGGCTATTTAAATATTTAGTCATCTGAAATAACATGTCCAAGAAATGATCATGCCATTTTAGGGAATCAAAGGGAATCAAACAGAACATTCCTTACTTCTCTGTACCTTTGATTATTTTGGCAGATTTCAGAGGGAATATCATGTACAGCCTGAGGCTTGACTGAAGTCAAACAACAAGTATTCTTCTGATTATTCCTCTACAAAGACAGCATACTACAGTTCTAAATTATTAGGGCTGGAGGGGAAATGCACAAGCTGATGAGGAAGAATGGCAATACTGCAGAAACAAGCTCCAGGGCTCCAGAGAGGTGTTATTGCCACCAAGGCATGGGGCAAAGCATCTGATGACACAATAGGAAAGAAAGAGCTGCCACAGTATAAAACCTTAAAAAACCAATAACGACGTGGCTTCTCTGGAGTGCTTAATAGGAGCCAGGTACTTCACGTGCATTATCGGGACCCTGGCAACAATTCTATTCTATCCCACCTGATAGGTCAGGAAACTGAGGCTCTGTCTGCAGAACCTTTCCCAGCATCATACACTAGCAGCTCCCTTCTATCCATTTCAGGACTAAGACATCTGGCCCAGCAAGCCCGACACTATCACAGGGGAATGGAAATATTCTCTTACCTTCAGAGCCCAGTCACAATCCCCCAGTGCCTTCTGGTAATCTCCAAGTTTTATATAAGCCTGTAATGACACAAAGAGCTGACACTCACACACAACTCTGCAACACGCAGTCTTTAGTCAATATAGAAGGAGAAGGGTGGAGAGGAGTGATTGCTGTCCCCTGAATCAGGAAGATCCCAGCAGGAAACACTGGGAAAGCAAGGAGTTTGTTACAAGGACTAACTGGAAGGCGAGGGCAGGGCTCAGGGGAACCGGCAAGGGATGTTACAGAACCTGGGCTAGCAGTGAGCAGCCATCACCACAGCTGGAACTGAGGAGGCAGAAAGAGGGAGCGATGTGGAAAACAGGAGACAACATCCATGTGAAACAAAGTGCCTGACATGAACCGAGACCTTTGCTGGAGCTAAAAGCCAGAATAAGTATCCCAGTCTCACTCTCCTCCTTCCTTCTGACCTCAATGGTTGAACCTAAATGAAAACAAAAGGGCTGGGAAGCCAAGGTACTAGTCTACATGGGCCTACCCCCCTGTCACAGAGCAGAGCAGAGAAGGACGAAGAGGCACAAACAGAAAATGTCCAGCACAATAACCACAGCTGCAAAGGAAGAGCTAGATTCTGGAAGCTACCCTGTTTGTGAATGTTCCAGAAAGACACCAAATAATAAAGGGAATCAAAAAGGCAGAACATAACAAGTGTTGGAAATGACATGGAAAAACTGGAACAGCTTGGAGGAATGTAAAATGCTGCAGTCACTTTGGAAAAGTGTGGCAGTTCCTCAGGTGGTTAACTGCAAAGTTACCAAGTGACTTTGCAATTACACCTGTAATTAGATTATAAGAAGACTGTAAACATAAATCCACATAAAAACTTGTACACAAATGCTCATAACAGAACAATTGGTAATAGTCAAAAAGTACAGAGTCCAAATGTTTATGAACTTATGGATAAACAAAAATATTGTAGAAAAATATACAATGGAAAATAATTCAGCAATGGAAAGGAATAAAGAACTGATATACCCAGTGACTTGGGAGGCTGAGGCAAGAGGATCACAAGTCCAAAGCCAGGCTCAGCAAAAGTGAGGTGCTAAGCAAATCAGTGAGACCCTGTCTCTAAATAAAATACAAAATAGGGCTGGGGATATGTCTCAGTGGTTGAGTGCCCCTGAGTGCAATCCCTGATACTCCTCCCAAACAAAAAAAAAAAAAAAAAGATACATACTACAATGTGAATGAACCTTGAGAATTGTATACCAAGTGAAAGCAGTCACAAAAGGATAAACATATGATTCCATTTATATGAAATATCCAGAGTAGGCAAATGTATGGAGATAGAAAGTAGATTAGTGGTTGCCTAGGGCTGGGGACCAGGAGGAGATTGGGAAGAGTAGAGAGTGACAGCTAAAGAGCGTGGAATTTCTTCTGAAGATAAGAAAATGTTCAAGCATTGATTGTGATGGTTGCACAACTCTGTGTTTATACTAAAAGCTAGTAATTGTACACTTCAAGTGGGTGAATTATGTGGTATGTGAATTGTATCTCAGTAATGCTGTTACCAAAAATTAATAAGGAAAACATTCTGCTCTGTCCTTATGAACCTATCAGAAAGGAAGAAATATAGGAAATAGGCTGATTTAAGAGCCCAGTACCATGAACCCTCAGTAGAAGTGTCTGGAAACTCTTTTGGAATTTTTCTGAAATTGGAGAAAATCTTGACATTCAAGAATTAACTCGGAATTTGAATGAACTTAAACTAAACCAACTTCAGGATTTGAATCAGTTAAAGTTTCCAGAGCTAGGGGCAAATAAAAAAATGAAAGACTGTTTAAAGATAAGCATAATGACTACTATAAGCTCTCTACTAATTACTGGACACAGTAAGTGGCCAATAAATTCTTACTGAGGAGCACTACAAAGATTAGAGTTCCCCAAGAAGTAACAATGATCACCCCATGTAAGAAAGGAAAACTAAGCATCTGGAGGATAAGTAGATTTTCTAGGGTCCCATCAGTCACCAGTAATAGAGCCACCACAAGTAGGCTTCTCCATGATCAAAACTGTGCCAAGGCACCAAGACATTCTTAACAATAAGATGAGATAGTTACATGAACAGGCCAATTACAAGGTCAGTGCTGGAACTCATGGGCGAATCTAAGCTCTCAGCCAAAGTGAGGAAGGAGCAGGGAACAGTCAGTTAATGATGCCGTGTGGCTCCCTGCCACAGAACAGAAGCTGCAGTGCTGTTCCTTCATTATCTCAGGCTCTGTATTAACTGAAGAAGACAAACCTTTAAGCTGCCTGCTCTATAAAACACCATCCTTTCCTCTGGGTCTTAGGTTGCATTTGAAAGCCAGAGGATGTGAGGAAGAACTTAGCATCTAGACAACTGTAGCCATGACTCTAAGACACTGATTAAGGATACACGCAGACCCTGAAAAAGCCTTCCAGGGCTTCAACAATTTTACCACACAGCTTTTTACTTTTTGTCCTTTTTTTCCTTTTTTTTTTTTTTAAGGCTTGGCACCCTGTAACTTTTCCATTCTCTTTTGCTTTTCCACATTTAAGAAGAACTTCTTTTGCCAAATGGCAATTAAACTCTAGATTTATCTAAATTACCCCAGCAATCTATTGATCATAACATTTGCTTCAGGAGAAAAACAAAGCGATAAAAGGGTAGTTTTATTTTTTCTTTAGCAAGCAACATTCAATTCACAGGGTCCTTATTAAGTGTTTTCTAGCCCTGCATGCAAACAGGGGAGGAATTTTAAAAACAGTCAATGGTTCAAATGATGCCTAACACTAGGCAACACATTTTGTGTTTGTCTCTGAATAAGCTTTCTCTTCGGGAAAGCTGGGAGAAATTACTTTCCCAAAGCTTTTCATTGCATTTACTTAAATTTATCCACATTCACTCCTAATGTGATTCTTCAGAATTAATCAAAAAACTGTTTAAAATTGAGTACAGTAAAAAAATGTAACTAATTTAGATGAATTAGGGAAGTCCGATTAGACATAAGTCTGAATTATATAACATTTTAAAAACAATTCAATTTTATTGCTTTTGAATCACTTCAGAGCAACAAGATTGAACAAGCGCCAGTAGGTAGATGTTTTTAGGGGCCAAATTGGTGATAAACAAGAAGGAAATGTAATTATTATACTAATTGCTTACATTTAAATGATTCTTCTGAATCATCAACAGAAGCTTAATTCCTTAAATGGTCTTATTATGCTTCCAATGTTATGTAACTCAATCAGAATTTAGGGAATGTCCATTATAAATAGAGCACTGGGGGGAAAGATATAGCAGTTTTTGCCCTCAAAAGATCCACATTTATAGTCTAGTTAGGGTGATAGGGTGAAAAAATGTAAACTGCCAAATCGGCCTCAGGCTACCTTATTTATCAGTTCACTTCCTTTAACAAGTTTTCTCCACAAATGGAGGTAGATAAATGACACCTCAACTCTAGTGCGATGTGTTCAAACCGCTAAACTAATGAGGTTACATCGTCACTCCCTAGACTCTGGCTTCCCAATGTCCTGTTTCTTGCTTTCCATACTCTTCCTCAACACACCCCAACCAGACATTTAATCTTGAGTTACAGAGATTGGCACTGACAGGGACTCTGCCGCAGACTCTTCCTCTGGTGAATGACATGGCATCCAGTTCATCTCACACGGGTCCTTGCTGACAGGTCCTAACAATCAGACAATCATGCCCTGAATCTGCCAGTTTTTCAGGCCTGAGCAAGGAGACCTCTACCCCATAAGAACTCAACTACTTTTCAATGATGGGTCACAGGTGACATTCTTGTTTCAACTAACAGCTATCAGCTTTGTCCCGTAATTAAGTAGCAGGAAATGAACACCTGTGATGGTTTTCACCTGGTGTTCCAAGTGACTGTGAACCCCTATGATACAAATCTGAGATGAAAGGGATTTTAGAAAATCCAAATTTCTGAGAAACTGGCTCTATTTCCATCAGCTACCTAATTTACTTCAGTCACAGGATTTCAATCTTAAAGAGGGATGAATATGATGAATAAGATAGTCACAAGGGAGTAGCTTTTAGGAGTTAAGACTACCACCAAAAGAGGAGGCCAGTGGAATTGAGTGGTGGCAGAATGACAAAGTCTCGCAGGTTATTACATTCTACTGGTTTTCTCCTTTATCCACATAGGAAAGCGCCCAGTCATCCTCAGGGATGTGCTGGGGAGGATGTACTCTGTGGAAGGAGCTGATGCCATGATGCTACGCAGTTCCTCCCAGTCCTCCTCCTCCAGTGACCTCCCATCAGGGACTTAAAATAGATTGTGGTGTTAATACTGTGGAAACTGGTACACTCCACATACAAATCAAGGGCCAATTGGTAAACAGTTGGTTTACCTGTTAGGCTGGTAAAGCCTAAAAAAAAATCTAGTTTTGTCTTCAACTGTTTGTCAAGTTCAGGGACAACCATTCTCTGAGAACCCTGGGTAAATCCGCAGCTCACTGACCTGGGCTCGGTTGGTGTACAACACTTTCATGTCCTTCAGCTTCTCCAAGCCCTGGCTGTAGTGCAAGATTGCCGTTTCATAGTCACCTTTGACAAAGGCTTCGTTCCCCTCTTCTTTCAGGGCTATGAAAATAACAGTCATACAACTGAGCTCTCACTGTACATTAGAAAATTCTTCCCGACTCCATTTCCCTGATTTTTCCAATTCCACTTGAAGATCTTAGCTGCCATTGACCCAAAAAGCAATTAACACTCTTTTCTCTCTGCACGTATTTCAGGACTATCTTCTTCGTTTCCTTCTTCTTTTTTTTTTTTTTTTTTTGTAAGACTTTTAAGTAGCTTCTTAGAGAAAGTGACTCTTTTTGCATCAAGGCTCAGAACCACTCCAACACTGTCACAGAGACCAATGTCTTATAAACAGGTCCCATAGTTAGTGTTCTAACAAATATGGACTCATGCAGATCCGCAGCACACAGACCCCTGGCGACATAAGAAACTGAAAGCACCTGTTGGCATAGGTCTCTCACCCCCAACACACGACATGTGTCTTTCTTTTCCTTTATTTCTCCCCTCTTTTCTCACAATTTTATTTTCTCATTTCATTTTTCTTTCTGACTTCTTCATCTACACCTCATACATAATACACATCTCAGGCTACTGGTGGAGCCACTCCCTTCCCTCCCTACTTTCCAAGCACTCTTCAGGAATCTGATCCCCTAAGCCCATTTGCTTTAGGAGATAGGCTGACTGTGGAGGGCGACTAAGGCTGTGTCCTACTGGTTGTGCCTTGATGCAGGAGCAGAGAACAGACCCCCAGTGACTTCTGCCTGGTCAGATCCCACTGCCACAGGCCCATGATGAATCCTCTGCCTGGGACTTTTAATATCCTCAAACATCATAACAGACTCTCGTATGCTCTCTACAGCATGAATTGTTCAGCAATGAAAAGTAAAGACTGATAATTACCATCTGCTAAGACTTTGTTTTCCCTTCTTCTCTTGGCTCGCTCCTTCGCATCCTTCTCCACAGATGCCAAGAAGGCCTCTGATGGCAGAGTAATTTCAAACAGCCAAAAGAAAAACCCAAATACTATAATCAGTTCTTTAACTCAAATGCCAAAAAGAGTTACTTTAGAGTTTTACAGCCACACTTCTCATGCACACACACACACACGTAGGCACAGGCACACACATGCACACACACGGTTCTGAGGCAGCTAAAATGACATTTTTCTTAATTTGACATTAAATGGTAATCTGCGTGATGTATTATTATACATGATGGCTATGACTATGCTTCAAATTTGAATTATGTCTTTTAAAAGATTTTTTTCTTTGAAGAGAGACATTTTTTTTTGGTTCCATTTAGCATAATGAGCTGTGGAGCTGATCAAGACAGAAAATATCTGAATTCCCTAAGAGTAAATTGGATGATGTATAATAACTGAAGTCAGTTTACAGAAGACTGGTCAGGAGAAAATACAGAAAAGCGTCTGAGTACTTTTCCCTCTGACCACTAGTACCAGAATTGTGTGATCAGTGGATTTTGTTCATTGGTTGTTTGTAAGCCTAGAAGCTATAATTTAAAGGTCTAGAAGTTATAATCAATAAAAAAAAAAAAGATCCTAAACAAATAATACTCATTGGGAAAAGAGATGCTGTTCTTACCTGGGCTTAATTCATCTGCATTCTGTAAGACACAGGCGTTCATAAAAACAAAGAAACAAATTTCAAAAACCACTCTCTGATTTATAGGTATACAAACCAAGAAGGCAAATCGATTATAAATGAGGAGACAAGTCATTTCCTTTAACCACTAATATGGAAAGGTCCAAAATTTAGGGAGCTTGCTTTAAATTAGGAGATCTGGTTGTGGGTGCAGTTGTTATGGGGTTGAGTTTGGAAAAGCAAGGGTATCCAGGTTAAGGGACGCCATCTGTGGCTGCATGAGTTGGAAATATGAATTAGTAGAATTTATTACTTTAACAGTACAGCTTAAATATGGGATACATGCTCAGGGAGTAGAGGCCAAACTCTCATTACAACAAACCCAAAAGTTGTTTATAAATGACCCAGAAAGATCAAGGGGGCAAAAAAATCAAGAGTTTATACTTCCTTGTAGAAAATGAATCTGGTAAATCTAAGAAACGAGAGAGTATTTCAGCTTCACCAGATAGCTTGAAATTAAATGACTGCCTCAATGCAGGTCTTCCTGCTGTACCTACTTATATAAGACTGAAATAGAAAAAGAAACCTCTGCAGGGGCTTGTGGAGGACTGATCATCGTCTTGTTCAAGGTGGTCTTGCACCCATCCTCCTCTTGGTGTTCCTCCAGGAGCAATAGTTTCTTCTCTGTCTCGAGGACAGCTTTCTGTTGAACAACTGGGTCATCAGAATTCATCTCCTGAATTAAAGTGGCTAGAGGAGAAATCAGATGTGAATCAATCAAAAGAGGTCTTCAAAAGGAAAGACTCCATTCATTAGAAGGACAGTGTATAAAATTAATGGGGGAGAACTTAAAGAAGGAAAATAAGGCAATGGGAAACAAAACAGAGCAATTAGAACCAATATGAAACAATTCAGAACAAGATTTGTTTTGCATGGAAAAAGCTACCAAAGAATTTAAGTCTGGGCTTCAAGGAACAGTTTTAAGCTATTAGTCAATTCAACAATAATTTTTGGAGAGCTTATTCAGAGTTAGATATTATGCTGAATGCTGCAGATAACAATGATAAATAAAAATATCCTGTTTTAAAAGAACTAATAATCTTGTGTGGGAGTAAGGTACAGGCATCTCTGAGATCACAAAATAATCTTCATAGTACTGCCTCCAAACTCAGATTCCACAGTCCGCCCCTTGGTAGCCATCCTGCCCTCCCATCTCACATAAGCCACACAAAGTTCCAACTCTAGATGAATCCAAGGATCCACCTTTCTCAGCCTTTATTCGGGATGCTGGGTACTTATAGAGAAAGAAAGATGCCTGAGAGAACTGGTCTTAACTCCACTGGACCTTCAGTGATGGCCATCAATCCTACTAGCAAGGCATTCTACTATCCCCAAGGACTTTCAAGCTTTTTGGTATTAAAACATGACTATCCCAAACAGATGATCTTACTAATTTATTCAGAGAGGGAAGGGCTGACATCAGAAAGAAACTCTTTCAACAACTTCCTGTCATGGAAACTATAAAACTGCCTACATCTACATCCATCCATTCTTCCTACCACAAGGAAAAGGTGTCCCTCCTCCCGAGTGAGGTTTATCACTCATCTTGTGCTCAGGATCCCATCATACTGATCCCATTCCATCCTGTTTAACATAAACAGGAACCCTGCATCACCAATTAATTATTCCATCTCGGCAATATTTCCAACCCAGTCAATCAGCTTCCCCCTAAAGATGTTTACACACTTTAACTCCCCAAACCCCCCTGTCTCCTCTGTACATGAATAATTTCTTAAAGGTATTTTCTCATTACCATTTCTTCATTTCCCATTAACTTTCCAAGGAAAGTTGCCTCAAATTTTAGTTGTAAAATACTTTAAATATTCATAAAATGAGGTACTTTTTTCCATACCATCTATCAGTTCATATATATCCTTTTTCCAGCATGTTTTACTGTCTAATATTTATACCATTGAGTTTTTGCTGTATAACAGACCATCCTGAAATTTATTGACTGAAAAACACTATTTGTCTAGCTTTATTTAGTTTCCAATTCTCTGGGTTAGTCATTTGAATTGGACTTAGCTGCTAGTTCTCCGAGTTTCAGCTGGGCTCACTTTTCAGTTATCAGTCATCTAAGTTGTTCTGCTTGGGCAAGTTGTCTGGCTTTGGCTGGAGCAATAGGAACATTTAGGGAAAGGGTATCTCATCCCAGCAGGGGTAGCCAAGAAAGCAAGCCCCAATGTTTGTGCTTTTAGGTTTCTGTTTGTGTTATGTTTGTAAACATCACTTTGGCTAAACAAGTCACATGGCCAATCCAGGACTTCACCCTTGATAGGAAGAAGGAAATTCATGACCATTTTCCCAATCCTAAGAGGATCTGATATGTGTGTGTTTATACTTTTTAATAAACAACTTTATAGAATGTGCATTCTTCTGCTACCTACTTTATCTCTTAATATGATTTAGAGATTTCTTGGTGCATTTGGCTCCAAGTAATTCACTTTAATCATTGTATGTACCATACTTGATCCACTCTTATTAACAGATATCCAGGTTATTTTTTGCTACAGCAAATAAATACAGCATACCTGTATTCATACATTACCTTGTGCACACGTTATATATTAAAATATAGCTACACCAGTTTTTATTCCTACAGCAATGTACAAAAAAGTATTCCTATTCCTCCACATTTTTGTCAAAGCTTGCTAATATCAAACATTCACATTGTTGCCACTCCGGTGGATGGGAAAGGTATCTTATTAATTTGCATTTTGCTGAATATGACTGGGATTAAGTCTCTTATTGATTTGCAGACCATTTGGACAGCTTCTTCTGTGAAGTATCTGTTCCTATCTTTGACCAATTTTTTACTGGTCATTTGTCCCTTTTGTATGTCTTTATATGATTCCTTGATATATTCCAAGCTGGTTACATGGATTTGTAAACATTTTCTCTTTTAGTATGAACTGTGTTTTCGTTTGTTTGTTTGAAACTTTTATCAAAGAGATTTCCTTTTAATTTTAATGTTATATACACCAATCTTTTGTGATTTATGCCTTTTGTGCCATTAAAGTTACAAATGTGGTCTCTTCTTTCTAAAGGCTTATTTTTCCCGTTTATGTTTGTGATCCACCTGGAGTTGATTTCTGTGTAACATGGGAGCATCTGTGGAGGCTCTTGTTCTCTCCACTGATTGTGTCTTGTCCTTCTCAGCCTGCTGTCAATCTGCTCTAGGCTCTTCATTCCTTTCCACTGGACTGCTTGTTTTTCCAACCCTAAACCTCCATGCTATAATTACTGTAGTTTTATAATAATCTTGAATTGTGGCTAGGAAGAGTTCTCCCTCCTTTTTGTCCTATAGAAATTTCTTAATTTTTCTTGATCTTTATTCTTCCATATGAACTTTGGAACCACCTTATTGAATTTTAGCACAAACCACTTTAGGGATGTTGTTCTCAATTGTATTGACTAGATGAAATAATTTGAGAACTGATATCTTTACCAAATGGATCTTCCCATTCATGATTTTAAAAAGTCTCCATTTATATGGATATTATTTTGTTTTTTACTTAAATTTTTTATTAACTAAACTCCACATTTTATTCTAATTTCATTGGTTTCTCTTTACTGTCTTTTTCAGTTCCAGGATCTCATTCACATACCATACTACATTCAGTCATTCAGCTTCTCCAGGCCATCACAATTTCTCAAACTTTCCTTGTTCTTGATGACCTTGATAGTTTCAGAAGTGGTAGCCAGGCATTTTGTAGAGTGTCATCAATTTGGGTTTATCTGACATGTTTCTCATGGTTAGCCTAGGATTACAGTTGTGGGAAGGAAGACCAAAGCACACCATATCAAGGGTACATGCTATTAACATGATTTATCATGTTAACCTGGATTACTTAATACTGTTTGCTTATCAGCTCTTTTCCATTGTAAAGTTATTTTTCCATATTCCTTGTCAGACTGTGTTCTTTAGAAGCAAGCCACTTAATGTATCTCATTTGTATGTATGAGGTGGTAAGTCTTGCTCCACCTCATTAAAGAAGGAGATCTACATAAATTTTTTGGAATTCATCAGAATGAGAGATTTGTCTTTTTATTTATTTATTCAATTATATATATCAGTATGAACTCATGGAATTTATTTTATACTTTGTATGATAACCAAATACAATGTTGATTTTGTTACTCAAATTGTTCCAGCTTTTACCACTGGGATCTGTTTCAATTAAATTTTGTAATTTTGTGATTTTCTCCATAGAGACCTTGCATATATTTTGATAGGTTTATTTTGGAATTAGAACTAAAGTCTTGCTTGAAATCAAAAATTTAAAAATAGAACTAGTATATGATCCAGAAATCTTATTTTTGGAAATGTATCCAAAAGAATTAAAATTAGTATGTTGGGAATCTACATTCCATATTCACTGCTGTATCATTCCCAGTAGCCAAGACACAGAATCACTCCAACTGTCCACCAACAGATAAACAGAAAATGTGAAGTGTAGGTCTGTGTATACTATTAAGCCTTAAAAAGGAAGAATCCTGTGATTTGGGACAACATGGCTAGAGCTGAGATCACAATGTTAAAGGAAGTAAGCAGACACAGAAAGTCAAGAACTGTATGATCTTACTTATATCAGGATCTAAAAAAGTTGAATTCAGAAGCAGAATAAAATGGTGTTGGGTTGGGGATGTGGCTCAAGCGGTAGCGCGCTCGCCTGGCACGTGCAGGGTGCTGGGTTCGATCCTCAGCACCACATAAAAATAAAATAAAGATTTTTAAAAATGGTGTTTATCAGAGGCTGGGGGTGGAAAGAACAGGAAGATATTGGTCAAATGGTACAAAATTTCAGTCAGACAGGAGAATGTTCTGCATGCCTACTATGGTTGACAATAATATACTATATATCTTAAAACTGCTAAGGGGATAGTTCTTTGGTGCTCTCACCAAGAAAAAAATGGTAAGTATATGAAGTGATGAATAGGTTAAATTAGCTTGCCTTAATCACTTTACAACATATACATACATCAAAAAAGGGGTGGGAGGGGAAGGGAGGAGGCATGGGGTTAGAAATGATGGTGGAATGAGATGAACATCATTACCCTAAGTACATGTATGAAAACACGAATGGTTCGAATATACTTTGTGTACAACCAGAGATATGAAAAATTGTGTTCTCTATGTGTAATATGAATTGTATTGCATTCTGCTGTCATATATAATAAATTAGAATAAAAAAAATTTAAAAAACACCATGCTGTACATCATAAATATAAATAATTTTTTTATTTAATCCTTATATAAAACTGAAAAAAAATAAGTATGGCCTTAGCTTTAAAGTCTTTTTTTCTAATATTAATATTCAGCATCTATTTTGAATAGCACTTTCCAATTCTCAAGGTCTAACTTTTCTGTGTCCTTAAGTTCAGACATGCCTCTCCCAGGCTCAGAAGAAAAAAGAGCTAATTGTTCTCTGAACATCTTTCCTAAGAGATCTTACTCATCAAACCTAATATGCCCATCTTCTTTCCTCATAAGTCTGTTCAAATGCCCCTATCTCGGCAAATAGCCCAATCTCCACCTGCCATTCAACACTCTGAACTCACCTTTGAGTCTTCATTCTCCCTCACCCCCGCTGCCATTGGACGCCAAAGCTTGTTTGAATATAACTTCTAAATATGTCTCAAATTTGTCTATTATGTCCATTCCTACTACCACCACTCCCAGCGCAGCCACTATCTCTTCTCCCTACAGTACTGTAATGGCCTCCTCACATCTCTCGTATGTTTCCTTCTCCACTCCAGTCCACATTCCACACCATGGCTGAAGAGCATTTTCTAAGGCATAAATCTGATCATGCTTCGGTTCTAAGCAACCCCTTTAAAGGCTGCCCATTGCTTTTGGTAAACACAAATTCCTTATAACAGCTTCCAAGTTCTTCCTTATCTGGCCTCTCCTCACTCAGATGGGACCTTTCTCTCCCTACTCTCTTCTCTCTAGTCACATGGGCTTTCCATTCCTTCCCTTTCTAAGAAGCATCATACTCTGTCTGCAGCGCCCAGCTTCCCTACCTTCTTATTTCCCATCTGGAAGACTCTCATCCTCTCCCCAAAGGCCAACTCCTACTTGTTCTTCAGTTATTTCACTTCTTCAGGCAAACCTTATTTTACCACTGCTTTGGACTGAACTTTGTCTTCCTCCCCACGCCAGCCCCCCCCCCAAAAAAAAAATTATGATGAGGCCCTAAATCCAGATGTAACTATATTTGGACAAAGGGCCTTAAAGATGTGATTCAATTAGGTTAAAAGGTAGGACCATTATTCAATATGACTGTTGTCATTGTAAGAACATGCACAAAGAGATGACCATGCAAATCCCAGCAAGTAAAGGCTATCCATAAGCCAAAGAAAGAGGACTCAGGAGAGACCAACCTGCTAACATTTTGTTCTTGGAGTTCCAGTTTCCAGAACAGTGAAAAAAAAAATATAATTCTGTTGTATAAGCCATGCTGTCTGTGTACTTTGTTACAACAGCCCTAGAAAACTAACATGATCCCCCAAACTGGGATCCTCTCTCTTGTACTTTGCATGTCTTTCTTTGTGTCATATATCATCTCAAAATTTCTTACTGTTTCTCACTGAACTATAGATGTAAAAAAAAAGGAAAACAATTATTTTACTATACCCTATAGTGTTTAGCAATACTCAACATAGTGGAAGCCCAAGAAATAAATGTATAGAATCTATACTTGTAGCTCTATGTTTAAATTTGTTCTAAATGAAATAAAATGAGAAATTCAGTTCATCAGTCATATTAGCCACATTTCAGATCTTCACTAGTCACATATGGCTAGTTTGTTTACCACAGTGGAGAGCGCAGATTATCAGACATTTCTATCATCACAGAAAGTTCTAGTGGATGACACTAGTATAAATGATTCCCGAATGAATTCTCAGTACGAATAAAAGTTAAGACAGGTAAAAAAGGAAGGGAAAGCAGAGGAAATGCTGCTGCTTAAGTGTGAGGTAGGAAGAGATGAGAGAGGTAAGAACAAGGTCATGTGAGGACTGAGGTCCTGATGGGAGTTTGGAATTTATTTTGGCTGCAAAGGAATCCAAGCAGAGAAGTGTCTGGCCCACATTTGCATTTTAGATACATTACTCTGTGGGAAGTACAAAGCTGATGGCAGAAACAACAATTAGGGGGTTGTTGAAAGTCTGCTGAGAGGAATGGCATAAAGAGAGGGCTGGAGAGGATGGTGCTGGGCAGAGAAACCAAAGGTCAAGGCTGATTGGAGGTGAGTGGAGAGGGTTAGATTTCTAGGGGGAGGGGGAGTTAAGAAAGGCAGGGTTCATTGGGAAGGAAGAGAGCAGAGGATAAAAGGGATGATGATTCAATTCTGGACACACTAAGGCTGGGGTATTTTGGAGACACAGTGAATGTGGCAGTTGACCATAGAAACTGAGGCTCTGAAAAGAAGCCTGGGTAGCAATTTAGATGCAGGAGTCACCAGCAAGCAGGTGGAGTTAAATCCATGTGAAGAGGCAGGTGAGCAGTGGGCCAGGGCCAGAACTCATGGACCAGTGTTCAAGGATGAACAGAGGAGAGTCCATGAGGACATAAAGAACATACCAGTATGTATCAGTTTGAGATTACCCAAACTACTTTTAAAACATTTTATTCTCTGTACCCGTACAATCCACTGGAAGCAGCACTTTATAGTATTTCTATTTACTACGTCAGGTTGTTTTCTTGTTGGCTTGTTTGTTTCTAGCATGGAACAAGTTCCCTGAAATCTCTAGAGGAGCTGTCTGGCTTAGAATCTTGAATGCAACGTGTGGGATCAGAGTACGCTTTTTTTTTGAGGTCCCTTCTTCAAGTTGCAGAAGGGTCTTCTTGCCAAGAGGAGAAGAGAAGAGGATAATGATCATAAGTCATCCAGGTCCTTTGATGGACTCTGAGGGAAAGCCTTTCATTTTGCATCTGCAGCTCAAGAGCAGAAATGGCTCTACTCTAAAACAGAAGGGCTCCCAGACTGATCAATAGTCTCCTTGAAAGGACAGCCAGGCTCGCTGGTGATGAGAAAAGAGCAGCTCCTCTTGACGAAAGGGAACAAAATATGGAGGAGAGCTGTCAGCCTGAATTCTAATCAGAAGGTTAACAGCTTCTATGCTACCAATTAACAGCAGAAAATACTGCTTGAGGCTATAATATAAATTTCTCAATATTTTTTCTGTTTAACTTCAATTACATTTTTTTTCTTTAAATCATAAATCTGTCAGACAACCCAGGAACTAACATAGAGTAATCATTTCTCTTTAGCCATACCACCTCTCCAAAGCAAAATTTAATTTGTATATGATTTACTGTTACTTACTGATTTCATCCACATTTTTTAAAAATTTCTGCAAATCTTTCTCTTGATCATCAGCCATTGTAGACCAGAATCCCTAAGGGAGGCAGGATAAATGATGAAATTAATAAAACACTAAACAGAACTGTCAGGTTTATTAGCCTTCTAAAACCAAGAGCCAAGTGATTATTGTTTAGGACATATTTGTGTTTATAAATAAATGTCATGAATAACAGCAGGGTGATCCATTTCACTCTGACTGCTGTTTAAGTCCAAGGGATACTCATTTGTGACAACACTTCAGAAAGCTGCCAGCTCCCTTTGCTAGAAAAACTGCTCTGCAAATAATTACTCTAAAGCCAACAGCAACCACTGTGATTCAGGGACCTGGGGAGAAGGAGATCAGGAGAGCAGGTAATAGGACACCAGGGATAGAGGGCACTAATTCCTGCTTTTGGTTGGAAAAGACCCAGAGTCAGAAGCTTGGACTTAGTGGAGTAACAGGTAACCAGAGATGGGACAATGTGCATTTCAATGACCACACTTAATGATTCTGGCTTTTTCCGGGAATGAAGCTTTTTTCCTGGAGTGAATCCTTGCCTGCAGGATTCGAACCTGATGCCACATTGCACCAGCATCTCTTCTCAAATCCTCTCCAAGGTACTTTGGATTTACTACCTCACCTTTGGTTTTGAGTGGGAAGGCAGCATGGTGTGCTCAGTGGTAACCAAAGGTTCATCTGCACACCTATAAAGATCATCTGAAGCTTGCAGATTCCTCAGAATTAGCCACAGAGATTTTCAGTCAGTAAACCTGGAATAGGGCCCAGGACTGTATACTTTAAATACACTCCAGGTAGTTAATTTTGATTCACAGGTTTAGTGCGGTAGTAGTGTAAGAAACCTACAATTGCCAATTAGAACTCTGCCAGGAACAAGCTGTGTTATTTGCTCTGAGCCCAAGTCCTTATCTCCACAAGTTACAAGTTGTATAATCCTGGCTAATGCCACAACTCCTCAGAGCCTTAGAGTCCTCCTCTGTGCTACAGAAACGGTAATATAAATCTGGGGGTCATCTTGGGGATTGGTATAGCACCAGATGCACAATGGGTGACAAGTGTGAGGCCCTTATCTGTTCTTCCCAGCTCAAATATTTAACTCTTTCAGAACGGAGGAAGTGCGACGTGAATTAACCTGCCCAAGGGTAAAAGGTCAGAAGGCAGGCTGGGCACCTCGTGCACCATCCAACCCCTAGGCTCCCGCGCAAGGATCCAAAGACGCACGCTGTCTGGCCCTTTCCACCTTCCCCAGGAGGAGCACTGGGCGACGGTAAAAGCGTTGCGCGCTCCTGCAGAAACCAAGTGGGCCTGCGCGCCCGCGTTCGCGTCCCGTTGCCTGGCAACCGTTCCCCAGCGTTCACCGACGCTGTGCCCTCCACGGAGGTCCCAGCCGCGGGCGGTTGCCGTCTCAGCCACTGAGGCCCAATCTGGCTGCCTCCACTCAGCTCTGAGAGCCAAGCCAGCCCAGGTGCCAGGAGAGACCCCGAGCCCACCCCACTGCACTGACCTGCGGCGCCCAGAGTTGGACAGGAAATGGCGGTTACTGGCGGATATGGACGGTCCTCGACGGCAGCGAGGAGTGGCCAGGGGCGGGGTCAAGGGCGGGGCTTGGACCCGCGCTCAAGTTCCTAGCCGGCTGCCCAGTTCAAAGCCAAGTTGGGGGCTCGGTGAAGGAAACTCTCGCGCGAGTAGGAGAAAGGAGCAAAGGGCTAGTCTTTTCTAAAGTTGCGCCAGGTCCTCGCCTTGTTTCCTTATGAGGACAGGGGTCTCAATCCCATTGGTTGACCCACAGGGTTAAAGTCTACAGTGTTCTTGGGAGAGACTTGTCTTGGGTATGAATAAATTTTGTTTATTGATAAATGTATGGGGTTGTGGCTCAGTGGTAAAGCATTTGCCTCACACATGTGAGGTACTGGGTTTCGATCCTGGACACCATTTGACCTTCAGACAGTTGTGTAATCTCTTTGATCCTCAGTTTTTTCATCTATAAAATGGAGAAATGACACTTTCTCATAAGGTTTATAGCTAAAGAGCCTGGATGGAGCCTTATGCTAAGGAATTAGTGGTAGTGAACATCCAGGGAATCATAGGCTTAAGGTAGAAAGAGATAATGGACACATTCATTCACACTCTGAATACATGCACATACATTCCAGAGTGCATTGTTGAAACAAAAATTCAACATATAAGGTTACTATGGTAGAAAAGCAGGTTTGGGGGAAATTTAGGTTTGATGCTTAGAATCACTAGGGACTTGCTGACAAAACTGTGGATACTTTACAAAAAAAATCAGTTTCATAGGGATTAGGAGTCTGTAGGGTAGAAGTTGCTAGGACAGAGGGGCTCAGACATGGTTGGTTAGATCCGATCCAACACTGGTCCCAACCAAGCAAGACTGGCTTTTATCCTGGGTTCCATAGCATGCATACCTGAACACTATGGAGATCAGAAGGACTTTTTGAAGTCTGGCAAAGCATTTGTACACATGCAGTCCATCTGGAGTAGCTCCCAATGGTATATGGCATGAAGGGTGGAGGTATTCTTTTTTGACTACACAATGGTCTTTAGCACATCAGCTGCAGCTGGAGATAATGGGACCTGGTTATCCACAGCACAGTTACAGAAGTGCTCCAAGAGACCAGTGTGCCTCTTAAGAAGTAACAGAATGGCAGTGCCTGCCAGGAACAAAGTCTTTGGTAAGCATTGGTCAGATATACTCTGGGTAATCCCAGAAAAATACGGGATACTTAGAGCATGTGGGAATTGATGGAGACAAGAACCAGTGACATTTTGGTTATTAGTATTTATAGTAATCCATCAGGCTTGTGAGGCTTTGAGTGCACAAAAGCATAGTCTCCAACTTCAAGGTGTTTCTTGTCACTATGGAGCTGATAGTTCCAAACCACTTTCTTCCTTTTTTGCTGCTCTTTACATCAAACTCTTTACCTGGGTTTCAGAGGGATCAGCCCACTCTGATTATACCATACAACCTATTCAGCCATAATCATTCATCAAATGTGGATGTCTATAGTACGTCAGATTCAGTGAAAGTTCTATAGGGTGCACTTGACAAAATTCATCACATATTGAGTGGTTAAGAGCAGGGACTTTGGAACCAGTCTGCTTGGGTTCAAATCTCAGCTGTCAACTTATTAACATTTATTTAAACTTTTTTTTTTTTTTGACAGTGCTGGAGATTGAATTTAGGGCCTCACAGCATGTTAGGCAAGCACTTTACCAATAAGCCACATCCCCAGCCCTCTTAGCATTTATTTAAAATGTTAAGTATATGCCATGTGCCTTTGACTGTTCCAGGTAGTAGATGGTTTTTTTGCTTCTCTTTTACTGTACTACTACTACTACCACTACTTGTCATGTGACCTTTGTTAAGTTCTTTAATCTCTGTGCCTTTGTTTCTCTACCTGTAAAATGGGGTTGTTATAACCATCTCATAGGATTGTTGTGAGAGATACAAGAGTTAATACAGGTAATGTGCTTAGAACACCCCCAGAGCATTATCAAAACCCAGTAAACATTACTATCACTACTACTACTAAGGTTAGTATGCAGTAGACTGGTGCCTCTGAATCTTGGTTGTGCATAGGACTTGTCTGGGGATCTTGTTAACATGCAGTCTGAGTCTACAGGCCTG